TACCTAATGATCTTAAGATTATTGCATACTGCTCTAATTGGTTTTGTTATATAGTCTGGACCAGGCTTAAGAGCCCACCTACATATTTTTATAGTAACTATTTTGAAACAAATATGACCTACTTACATAATTTCTTGCAATAATATAAAGGTTTAGGTATTTCTGTAATTACTTAATGTTGAAAATGAAATTATGTTTTGTTTTGCAAGTTTAAAAGAAAAAGAATAATCATGTTTTCATTTTGTTTATAGAGTTGGCAACACTAGCGAACAGCCTGCGCGCTGTCAATGTGTCAATAAAATCTAAGGTTTTTGATTTGGTTAAAAAACAAAGGAAACACCTATAGATTTGTTTTGATAAAATAAACGTTTAATAAGTAGTAAACTTGAGTGTATTCTTAACAGGTTATGGGCCCAGGACACGTAAAGTAAATTTCGAGCCAAAGAATCACTCAAAAGTTCAAAGTAAAGTGAAATTTCTATAGGTCAGTTGTTTTTGTTAGTAAAAAGTGTATCAACGACCCCTCAGAAAAGAAAATGGCAGATAAAGCAGATGTTTCCTGTGTAGCAAAATTTGATGGCAAAAATTACCATCAATGGAAATTCCAATTAAAATGTGCTCTAAAAGCTAGGGGCATTTATGGAATGGTGGATGGCTCAACACCTCAGCCATCAGTTTCCCAGGTACAGGAGTTAGAAATCTGGCATAAAAAAGATGCTCAAGCAATGTTTTTGTTGACTGCTGCTATGGATTTAACGCAAATCACTCTTATAGAAAACTGTGATTCTGCCAAAGAAATTGTTGACAAATTGGATTCGATTTATATACAGAAATCAGAAGTAAACAAAATGCTTGTACATGAAAAGTTTCATCAGTATAAAATGGAACCTAGTGACTCAGTGGCTCAACATATTTCAAAATTAGAGAACTTGGCACGTGAAATCAGAGAAACTGGTGATAATATTAGTGATGCAGCCATCATAACAAAAATTTTAAGCACTTTGCCCCTAAAATACCGAAATATGCGCCAAGCATGGCTTTCTTTGGAAGATTCCAAACAAACAATTAAAAACTTAACTGCAAGGCTTCTAGATGAAGAACGAAGCCTTACAGCTGTTGAAGAAGAAGAAACTGCTTTGGCTGCCATGTCGCTTAGAGATAAAAAGGTTGTAGTAGATCCAAATAGAGAAGATAGGAGATTGGGGCCAGGAGGTCGTTTTCCATTCACTTGTTATAATTGTAACAGAAGGGGCCATATGGCTAAAGACTGTAGAGCTTCTAGAAGAAGACCCAGTGCCTATGAAAATGTGAATCGTGAATTTAGAGATGGCCATCGTGATCGAGGTCATGATGATAACAATGAAACTGCTTTCAATATCCAGTGTGAAACTGGTCCTGAAGAAATATGGATAATGGATAGTGGAGCGTCATCCCACATGAGTTTCAAAAGAGAATATTTTGATATATTTGATTATCTAGAAACACCATCGTTCGTTGTTCTAGGAAATCAAAAGTCATTGGAAGTGAAAGGCAAAGGAACAATCAAGATAAAAAAGTTGATAAAAGGTCAATGGTATGATTCAACTATAAATGATGTTCTATTTGTTCCTGAACTAAGAAGGAATTTACTATCAGAAGGTGTATTAACAAATAAAGGAATGAAGATTGTGAAAAAAGAAGCCAATGTATACCTTGAAAATAAGTTGGTTGCTTGTGCTTCTCGTGAAAAGAATAATTTGTATCAAATGCAATTTAGCACTGTTGTTCAAAGTGCTAATATGGCATTAGATGATACAACAGGTGATTTAAAGTTATGGCATTACAGACTTGGCCATATAAATCTGAAACTTCTAAAAGAAATGGTGTCGAATGGACTAGTTACTGGAATAAACTTAAAAAACAACACTGGTGATTTTACTTGCGAGGATTGTCTTCTAGGCAAACAATGTCAACTGCCATATAAGAAAAGTGAACGAGAAATTAAAAAGAACCCAGGTGAGCTAATTTATAGTGATGTTTGTGGTCCAATGTCAACATCATCTGTGTCCGGAGCAAGATATTTTGTCTCCTTTAAAGACAGCTGTTCCTCCTATTTAGTAGCGTACTTTATAAAACATAAGAGTGACGTTCTAGAGTGCTTCAAAAAATACAATAAAAAAGTAATAACAAAATTTGGACATGCAGTAAAAGTTTTACATGTTGACAATGGAACAGAATATACAAATTTGGATTTTAAGCTCTATTTAGATGAAAATGGCATAGAACTAGAAACCACTGCTCCATACAGTCCTCAACAAAATGGAAGAATAGAAAGGGAAAATAGAACTATTATGGAGAGTGCTAGATCCATGATGAATGCAGCTAAAGCTCCTGAGAACTTGTGGGCTGAAGCTGTTAATTATGCCATTTATATTCTGAACCGAACTTCGAGTAGTCAGACTCCCAAATCAACACCATTTGAAATTTGGAGTGGTGAAAAATCTAATCTGAAACACATTAAAATTTTTGGATGTGCAGTATACGTTTTGATCCCACATCAAAAGCGAACAAAATTAGCACCCAAAAGCAGAAGAATGATTCATGTTGGATGCGACAAAAACTCTACTAATTATAGGCTTTTTGATCCTGTAACGAAAAAAATTACAATCTCTAGAAATGTAACTTTTATTGAAAATGACTTGGGTTTTGAAGAAGACTCCATAATCCCAATATGTTTTGATGAAGATATCGATATTGAAATTCCAAACGGTTATCAAAATGACAGAAATGAAGAAGAAGCCATAATCAATGAAAATCAGGAAGAAATTATTGAAATGGCGAATCCACCTAACCTCAGACCTCAAAGAAATGTCAAATTACCAAATAGATTTGAAAATTTTGACTTAAACTTCGTAGAAAGTGATATTCCTGAGACATATGCAGAAGCAATTAAAAGTCAACAATCCAAAGAATGGAAAAATGCAATTTCTGAGGAAATAAATGCCTTAAATAAAAACAAAGTCTGGGAGGTGACAAAATTACCTGAGGGTAAGAATGTAATAGGATCCAAATGGGTTTTTAAAATAACAAGAAATTCTAATGGTGAAATTTGTCGCTACAAAGCAAGGTTATGTGCTAAAGGTTGTTCTCAAAAAGAAGGTACAGATTTTACAGAAATATTTTCTCCAACTACACGTTATGATTCCATTCGTGTGTTGTTAGCCATAGCTGCTCAAAATAGTTACAAAATTAAACAATTTGATGTAAAAACAGCCTTTTTATACGGAGATTTACTTGATGAAGTTTACATGACTATACCGGAGGGATTCAGTACAGACAATCAGGAAGAGGTAGAGAATAATATGGTATGCAAATTAAAAAAATCATTGTATGGACTAAAACAAGCACCAAGATGCTGGAATGAAAAGTTTACTAGTGTGCTCAAAAACTTTGGCCTTTCACAAACTGATGCTGACTTATGTGTGTTTAGAGGACTTGTTGATGGACTTAGTGTTCTTTTAATGCTATATGTTGACGATGGACTTATCATGGCCAAATCTGACTTAGTAGCTGACAAAGTGTTGTATGAACTCAAAAAGAACTTTGAAATAACTGTAAGTGAAACTCTTTCTTACTTTGTTGGTTTAGAAATCAATTTATGTGACAATGGGACAATTTTCATTCATCAGAATAAATACATTAATCAAATTATTGAAAAATTTCGTTTACAAGATGCTTCTTCAAGTGACATTCCAGCTGATCCACATTCAATACTTACTAAAAATGTTGACATTGAAAATGCTTATGAAATTCCCTACCGTGAAGCTGTGGGCTCACTCATGTTTGTGGCTGTTGTGTCACGTCCAGACATTGCCTACTCAGTGGGAGTAGTGAGTCACTATCTAAATAATCCTTCAAAAGCACATTGGAATGCTGTTAAAAAGATTATTAAATACTTGAAAGCAACCAGTCACTATGGAATACATCACTCAAAACAACATCATTTAAATTTAGTTGGCTATAGTGATGCAGACTATGCGAGTGATCAACATACTCGTAGATCAACCACTGGTTACATCTTTAAACTCAGCAATGCTCCTGTTACATGGTCAAGCAAGCGTCAGCATACCGTAACACTTTCGACTACAGAGGCAGAATATGTAGCAGCCTGCCAAGCTACTAAAGAAGCAATCTGGCTGAGACAACTTTTGGAGAACATTGGTGAAGATGTGAGTAGTCCTGTTCCAATTTACATCGATAATCAAAGTGCAATTAAGTTAATTCATAATCCAGAGTTCCATAACAGAACTAAACATATTGATGTTCAATTTCACTTTATTAGAGAAAAATATCAAAAGAGGGAAATTGAACCAATTTATATATCAACTAAACTTCAAGAAGCTGATATTTTAACTAAAGCACTCGCAAGACCTAGATTTTGGTATTTGCGGCAAATGCTGGAATTAAAATCAGTGGACAATATTTAAGTCTTTATTTTTACTATAATAATATGGATTGATGTTCTCTTTATTGTTAGAATGGTATTATCATTTATCTAATGTTTTAGTTTTCTCAATGTTATTTTGTATTTGTTTTTGATTTAGCATTCATTGGGTAAGTTTTTAAACTTTCAAAATGTGGGAGTGTTGAAAATGAAATTATGTTTTGTTTTGCAAGTTTAAAAGAAAAAGAATAATCATGTTTTCATTTTGTTTATAGAGTTGGCAACACTAGCGAACAGCCTGCGCGCTGTCAATGTGTCAATAAAATCTAAGGTTTTTGATTTGGTTAAAAAACAAAGGAAACACCTATAGATTTGTTTTGATAAAATAAACGTTTAATAAGTAGTAAACTTGAGTGTATTCTTAACACTTAATTACTAATCAATTTTTACTTATTTGGTAATTCTCATTTACAAAGATTTTATGAATCCATGTTAAAAAAAATTATTGCCTCTTAATGGATGCTGGAAAATCTAGACATTTTACTAACAAATAAGTCAAAATAAGAATGTCACTGACCTTCTCATCATGGTTGGATTCATCATTGGAAGCACGTGCTTCACCATCCTCAGTTCCATCTTCCTTGGGTCCATTCAGTTTTCTAGCCTGTTTATCCATCAGGCTTGTCCGAGTTCTAGTTTTCTTCCAACTGTAATAATACTTCACCAAACTAGCAATACTTTTATCTGGCAACTGAAAATTAAAACATTTAATACAGAAAATTGTAAATTGTTTTCAAGTTACCATTTGACGTATCCTGTGGAAATTCTGGCCATGGAACTGAAACGCCTGTTCAAACAACACCTTGTCCTCAACAGACCATTCATCTGGAAATGGTGTAAAATTGGCCAAATCCATAACGGCCCTGTCCAGATCGTGTTTGTGCCAGAACAACATGCCCAGCGCTTGCTCACCATTGTAGCCATATTTGTCTTTGGCCAACACAATATAATCTTCCACTGTAATGTAAATCAAAAATTAGCTCTTTTGAGAATTAAAGTGAATATGATAAAATTATTACATTTTGAATCGGGTATGGATTCTGTTGGTGACCAAACTAAGCGAGCTCTATCGGCTAATAATTCCGGTTTTCTCTGAGCTTCTGGTTGTAATTCTGGACATGTGGCTTGGTAATCTCTACCTACTCGAATTTTAACTACTGGAACTGGAAAATTAAAGACTTAAGTATCTTCTTTGTAATGTTTTTGGACTTAAATAGCTACAACGCTTTATTCGAAGACTCATATGGATGCCCCCCTCCCAAAAAATCATGCTTTGTGGGCCTCCCGAAAGACTTTATCAAAGTAAAACATGATTTAAAAAAGGACTTTTATTTCAATAGTCAAAACATTCAAACAAGCCCCTTGGGTTAGTGGAGGCTGCAAACTAACCCCCAAATCTTGAAGGGCCCTAAAAACATGCTCTACACGCCCCTTGTGGTTTATAAGATAAATTTGATGTTTTATTTCAAAAAATTAGGTCAATGCAACTAAACTCACCTGGACTTTTATCCTCGCTCGAAGATTCTGCCTGTACGTGTCCATTGGGACTTGGCCCTCGACTTCTAACGTCCATTTCTAGAGTTGTCGTTTTTCTTGGCTAGCACCATAATTTTAGTTTATTATTATTAGGTATTTATACCCCCGAACACCGGCGATAGCTGATACGGGTAGTGAAAAACGGCCCTTGGATTGAGGAGATTGAATTTCACTCTAGTTACCAACTTTTATTTTGAAAATTAAAAATGCGTGAGGCAAAAATGATACGGGTACAAAACACACTAATGAAACTGGCATTTTTAGCATCACACTATTTCATCGGAGTACCGTCGGGCTACCGTCGTTCTTGAAAAGGTTTCAAAAATGCTCACTTGGCTGCTGGCAGCGCTGTTATCGGCCAACTTCTTTCACTTCTTCAACGCATGCTCCATCCTCTTCCAACATTTCTTTCTTTTCTTTCAGGCAAAATAAGCGTTTTTGATTGGTTTTGTGGAATTGCTCTGATTTTAAATTTGGAGGTGTCCTGTGATTTGTGATTGTGAATGATCAATGTTGTGATCAATGTAATAATCTGCTGGTGCTGACAAACATCAGTATCAATGACGTCACTACCGAATTCAGTTTGCTCGAAAGTCGAAACAAGATGGAGCGTGGTGAATCAAGCGACTCGGAAAGCTCCGAACAATTTCGAGCGCACAGTGCGCACAGATCAAATAAACGAGCGCAACTAGAACAAGGCAGTTGCGTTAAAAACCGATTACACTAGCTAGACACTCTAATGACGTAGTTTTGAGGAAACAACTTGACACGAAGGTTTATGATGAAACTCGAAACCGAAGTAATTTGGGAAAATTGATTCAAGCAAAGTATGCATGTCAATAACAAATAGCACTTGGATTTAAAAAAAGCTTCTTGTAAAATACTTTGAATGACTCCGAACGAACGAACAGCTCCGGAGCTTATGAAAAAAGAATGTAACGTTACTCTGCTGTGCGTGCGCTCAGAGTTGCTTTCCAGTGTGACGCTCGGAGCTACTCGGAGCGTTGAGCTCCCGAGCTATACGTACGGACAAACGTCACACGTCAAGCCTTGCGTTCGGTATTTTGCTCAAAGAGCAGAGCGTGCCGAATAGAGCAGTAATCACATGACCAACGAGCGAACAGAGCAATTGAACGCTGTATCGGAGAGCCCAAAATTTCAATAAACGAACGCGAATGAGCTTGCACCGAGTACACTTTTCAAATAAACGAACGGTAAATTCAAGCTCGGAGAACTCAGATCAAATTACCGAACGCACGGATGATACTGGAACGGTACAAATCTAGTGCGTGGCACTCCCGGGGTGCTCTAGAGCGAGCCAATGTGCATACTGGAAAGCAGCTCAGGTAGTAGCTTGTTTATTTTTGAAAAAGGCCCGGACCGCGTTCCTGCTGGAAATACCGTATTATGTATACTACCTTTTCCTGAGGCCGATTCCGACAAACCTGCTGGCATTTTATGAGTAAGTTTACGTTACGAAGAAGTACTGAATTCTTGAAAGAACTTTTTTCTAACTGTAACGTATTTTTGACACTTAATTAGAATTATACAAAATAGTTAATAATAATTTATCAAGACGACTGACAGCTTAAAATAACGAAATGAATCGACACGCATTATTTGAAAATGTTTATAAAAATCGATATAAATCATCTGAAATTGCCCTACTTTAAATGCGTTGAAAAGTACTTTTAGTTTTGTTAGGTTGGCAGCAGAAATTTACTAAATGTGACGTCATCCTAAATATAACGTAAAAAGCCTATAGCTTGTTTATTTTTGAAAAAGGCCCGAACCGGAACGATATTGAACTTAAAACCGGAACGGAACCATTTTTTTTTGCAGACCGGAACCGGATCGACACCCATATTTCATGGAATTGTTGTTAATAGTTGGGGAGCTGGCGTCAAAAACATGCAAGAGTTTTCGCAAGGCGGATATTTTCAAAATAGGTCGTACTTAAGTGCTAGAATGCTAGTGTACAGTCAGCACTCACAGTTCCGGGACAGCTGGCTCTGGGACGCGGGCAAAGTTGTAATTTTAAGAAGCATCTAAACTGTTTTCTCAAAGCTCAAAATTTATAGAAATTTTGCACATTATCTGTTTGAAGGTCACAGATAACGTATGTAAATCGTCAGACGTCTAGTTCGTTGCAAAAAGAGGGTCAGACGTCCTCAAAGTTTTTATTTTATGGCATTTTCTTCGGTTTCCTGTCAAAATATATTTTTGCAGGTATTTGACAAATATATTTGAAGAAAATGCCATAAAATAAAAACTTTGAGGACGTCTGACCCCCTTTTTGCAACGAACTAGACGTCTGACGATCTATATACGCTATCTGTGACCTTCAAACAGATAATGTGCAAAATTTCTATACATTTTGAGCTTTGAGAAAACAGTTTAGATGCTTCTTAAAATTGCAACTTTGCCCGCGTCCCAGAGCCAGCTGTCCCGGAACTGTGAGTGCTGACTGTACACTAGCATTCTAGCACTAAAGTACGACCTATTTTGAAAATATCCGCCTTGCGAAAACTCTTGCATGTTTTTGACGCCACCTCCTGGACTATAAGCTTCGTAAAGACTTGAACATAACGCCAAACAATAAATAGAGCAGCGATTACAACGGAACCAACGAGCATCGAAATGCATTTTGGACGGGGCTACGAACGCGTTTGCAAATAGGCAGTGGCGGCTCGTCAGAGGAGGCAGAGGAGGCTAAACCTCCCCCAAAAAATTGGTTAAATTCAATTTCAATTTTTTATTCTAATTAAAATAATAATTACACAACAGAATTCCAATTTTCGATATTCCAATGTAATTTTAAAAAATCTGACAGAATTATTTCAATCAATCCCATGCCCTCAGGACAAAAATCTGTGAATCTGGGATACTCAGTAATTCCGGCCCGAAGGGCCGGAGTTATATGCGAGCCCGAAGGGCCGGAGTTATATGCGAGCCCGAAGGGCCGGAGTTATATGCGAGCCCGAAGGGCCGAAGTTATACGCGAATCCGGCCCGAAGGGCCGGAGTTATATGCGAACCAAGGGCCGGAGTTATACGTGAGCCCGAAGGGCTAGAGTTATTTTAATCACGGGGCTCAGTCTATATATTCAGCGGATAATTTAGAGCCAATTAAAAACCAGGATTATTTAAAATGCGATTTTTAGCGTCCAATCAAAGAGCCGGGAATATTCAAAAACTTTAGTTTTATCAAATTGACTTTGGAATGTTGGTTTTCCTGAGATTTTTATTTTTTTCAGAAAACGGTGGTTTTCGCAAACATATACTACTTTATCGTTGTCTTTGTCTCACTCACTATAATCAATAAGGAAACCTTGTAATGTCATTTTCATCGAAATTAAACTAAAAACAAGTTTCCTATGATTTATTTGGGGAATTTTAATTATTATAATCATTATTAATTAATTATTAAATTGAATTTTAAACAAAAAAACCCTTTTAAAATGTTATTTTTGTTTTCCGAAATGAGATGTGGCAACGTTGCTTTTAGTTGGCCATTTTGAAGTGACGCCTTGTAACTTTTTGCCAGTTTTTCCTCGAATTTTTCACTTTTCCGGGGCTTTTCAATGGAAAAAGGCAATTTAACATACGACGCTTTGAGTTTTCTTCATTTTCTAGCAAAAATGTCCAGTTTTAAAATGACATAAATAACAAAATCCCATTTAAAGGGATTTTTTTTGAAAGTTTTGATGTGGCAACACCGTTTGTACCAACTTCAAATAGGTTTTGTAATAAATGTCATTTGCCAGTTTTGACAGTCGGCAATTTTTAATTGACGTGTTTACATTTCTATCCAGTTTTTCCTCGAATTTTCCGCTTTTCCAGGCCGTTTTCAGTCAAGAAAACCAATTAGAAATGCGAGGCTTTGAATTTCCTATATTTTGTGCTAAAAATTCCCAGTTTTCCAATGGGGTAAGTGACAAAAATTCAAATTTCATTAAGTAGGCTTTGGAATGTCATTTTTAGAGGTTTTTCTTTAGATTTGTCCGCTTTTTTAGGGCTTTTGTGGTCGGAAAAACCGATTTAAAGTACGAGGCTTTAAGTTTTATTCATTTTTTAGTAAAAATTTCTAGTTTTAAATGACATAAATAACAAAATCCCATTTAAAATGCTTTTGATGTGGCAACATCGCTTGTGGCTGTCGGCCATTTTCAATTGACGTGTTTACATTTTTATTCAGTTTTTCTTCGAATTTCCACTTTTCCAGGGCTTTTTCAGTCGAGAAAACTGATTTAAAGTACGAGGCTTTGAGTTTTCTTCATTTTCCACCAAAAATTTCCAGTGTTTTAACGGGGTAAGTGAGAAAAACTTTAGTTTTATCAAGTAGGTTTTGGAATGTCATTTTCGTTGTTTTTTTTTTTTGGAATTTTTATTTAAAGTTTTTGGGGTCCGGGGAACGTTTTCTACCACTTTTTTTTCTCAAAATTCGCAAAATATGACGTTGACAGCTGTCATTTTTTTTTTACACAAATCGATAGTTGGCGTCGCAAAACTGCCTTTTACCGGGGTTTGATTTTCGTAGTTTTTATAATAGAGCGGGAAAAAAGTCGAACATGTGTCAAATTTGACAGGTGACATCTGTCGATATTGATGACAAAAGTTTTATCCGAACGAATCCGTTCATTGTCAACTGATTTCAATACTCCGGCCTTTCGGGTTGTAATCTTTGAAACAAAAAGACGTCATTTTGTATCGATTGTCAAAAAACCCCAAGGTTTGAAATTTCAATTTTTTGACGTTTGTTGTATCATGAGCAGTGTTGCCATATGATTTTTTTTTTCAAATCTAGAAATAGAATATTATGATAAATTCCCTTCCCCCGAAGCAAAAAGTTTCTCATGAGGGGCGGCAAAACAAGCTCTTGCACGAGGGCGGCCAAAGAGCTAGAACCGGCCCTGACATTGGAGAAAACTAAAACTCGGAATATCAACTATAAATCACATTTTGAATATTCCCGATTTTTGATTGCCTCCAAATTATTCACCCAAATTATCCACTGACTAATAGAATTATAGACTGT